CCCCCGCGGGGCGCTGCGGGTTACGGTAAGTGCTCTGTCTGTCTGTCTGTACGTGCGCACCGGTGCCTCGATTTGTTGTTCAAATTGCAATTATTCTGGGTAGTTGGGTACAGGTTTTTCTTTTCTTTTTTTTTTTAATTTTACTGTTTTTACTCCTCCCTTCCCGTCCCCCCGCAGGGAGACCTCGAGGTTCACAGCTTGGCGTCAATGCCTGCTGGGATGGCAGGTTTGGCACCCTGCTTCCTGATACCCCCGTGGTGTAAGAGATAACAACTTCCCCTGTTCTTGGGTTGCCAAGGAGGTGTCCCTGGTCGGAATGGGTTGGTGGGCCCCAGCGCATGATACGTGCTTGTTTTAATGCAGGTGTCCTCCATCCTTTGGCCTTATATGATGTCCTGGTCTTTCAAGGTGAAGTTCATGAGGATTGGCCTTTGGCCAAAGGTAAACTTTCTGGAGAAGTTACATTCGCTGGTGTCAGTATTTTGAGTTGACTGTAGAAGAAATGTTTTCTCTGTTCAATAAAGCAGCTCTTTCTTGGTTTATATATATTTCTATCACCGTTATTAATTGTCTCCACTGACTTATGAGTGTTTAAAAACAAATTTTTGTGGGAACACCGTGTCTCGCATGGATGTCTCATTGTGAGTTCCGTCTTTTGCCAAGGAAGGCCCCGCTGTGTATGATGGGCCTGCCTAACCAAATGGTGCCCAGATTTAAGGTGCAGGCTGTAGCTTTTCTTATGTGTGCCACTGACAACACCTAGGTAGCGCTGTGCCATGATATTTGGGACTTGGAGGGCTGAGTCTCCTCCCTTGGGCTGTGTGACCCCCCAAACTAAAGGTGGTGAAGGGAGCTGCGTGCCTGCCTCCCTTGAGCCACCTGAAGAAGCCTGGCATGGAGTGGAAGTATGTCCTAGCCCATACGGCATGTGGGAGGACGCATAACTGAGAGGTGCGAGACACTGTCTTGAGGCAGAAAGTCTCAGCTCACCCTGGGGAGCTGCTGTCCTTACCCTGCCTCAGGCTTTAACCGTCACGCACAGGAGTCCTTGAGGAGGGAAGTTTCTGCTTCGTTTGCTGTTCCGTAGGGCAAAAATTTTACGGCTTCTCACGTGAATGGGAAGGAGAAGTCAAAGATGCTTCATTAACTTCTCCTGGATAGAGTGTCTGTAGTGATTGGGGACAGAGTGCTATAGGGATACTTAAACTTGTTTTTTTGCTTAGTAATACCTCAGAAAAAGAAATCAACGTAACTTGAGCAATTTCATTGATGAAATACCACCGTTAGAAGAACATTAAAACTGCATATGCAAAGTCAGGAAATTATAATTTTAAAACTGCATTTGCAGCCTTAATTTTATCTTCAGACAACTGTTTGCATAAAGAATCTTTCATTGTAAGGTCATGTACTGCTCCTTGAAGAACGTTACATGAAACTTTTTTCCCTGTGGATGCAAATCTTGTAGGTGCTGTGCCCTGTCTTGTGTGTGACAAATCGCATTCATGGCAGCTATGTATGGAAGACTTGATGCAACAAAGAGTCATGTGAACTTAAGCAGATGGGTCCCGGTTGCCATTTACTGTGGGTCACTTTATATTGCTCTGTGAAATAGCTATAATTTACTCCCTTTCTAAGGTAAGAGGCCCATTATGGTCGTGGAGTAAAACACTGAAATTTGTTGACAACCTTGCTACTAGTATGGTTTGTCTAAATTGCCACAATAGGCCTGCGTTTTGATACGTTTAACCGTAACGAATATGAGCTTGTTCTACCAGGAGCCCCACTGAACTACCTACAGAGTATTAGCTGAGGAAACCGAAGATAGGAACACTTTTTTCCATAGTTGTGCTTAGTGAGGAAAACCTGTGTGGAGTTGGAAAGCCGTTAGTTAAAACTACAGAATTTATACTGCTGATGGTCTCCTTTTTTCAAGTGAGACTTAATAGTAGTGTTATTGCACTTATATTTTGGAGGACTTTCCTTTCCTAGCAGCAGGAGAGATGTTATGCTGTTGGCCACCGAGATTCTATGCTAGCGTCAGTCCCTCCCTAAGCTCACTCTTAAAACTTTCTTTCCTCTCAAAATTTGTCTCATAAAACAAACTCTGCCCTCCCAATTGTTGCTTTTCCATCCTAGTCCTTTATTTCTTCTTTATTGTCTGCAGTAGATTGCCTTTATCTTCTTTCAGTTAATTTTCTGTGAGGCTGTTTTTTATTTTATGGTCAAATTTTGGTTCCTGTTAGGCGTAGCTTTCACTGAATTTCACAGTACCTTGCCTGTGGGGAGGCTATTTAAAAACATTAAGAGGTGTAACGGCTCTATTGCTGACTTAAAACGTTGTCTTTTCCCCAAAACAATGTGCGTTCTTCCCCCCCCTCCCCTTATCTTTATCTGGAATGACTGAATTGCCTTCCATCTTATATTGTTTTCAAAGCTAGTTGTAGGTAGAAAAGTTCAGGTTTTGCATGGGGAACAGGTTTGCTGAAGCTGTTTACAGGACTGGGGCCTGATGTTGCAAAAGCAAGAAGGCAAAGCTTTAGAGGTAAAAATTTCAAAAGTGCTCTTGTCACTTTGATCCTTTAATTCCACTGTGGATTTTTTTTTTTTTTAATAGAATGTAGACTTCTCTGGGGCCAGACTTTGAAAGGTAATGCAGTATCTTAAAATGCAGGCATAAACGCAGATTTTTTCCAGAGCATGAATGGAGCAAGATATTTGTCTCCTGCTAATTTTTTAGCACATTGAAAATCCCGAGAGTTGTCCCAGATAAATGCTATCTGCTTTTCCAGGTTCCTAAATTTCTTTGAAGTCAAATTCTGTTTTCAGAAGTGACTTAGGAACAAAGTTTCTAGGTGGGATTTCATTTACTTTTCCGGTAGTGTTCTAGAAGTCCCTTATTTTCAGATGTGGCTGTGACTCACTGTTAATTAAGCAAACAAAGCCTGCAGCATAAACATGTAGCTACTAAGGCGGTCTTAGCTGAAAGTGATCTGCAAAGGCCAAGATAACCCTCCTCTCTACCCCAAAGCAATAGTGAGCAGGATTTCTTAATGTTAAGAAGCTAATGTGACATTAGCAAAAGTAACTCTGCCTTGATTCATAATATTACTACTCTACGTTATTCTGGGAATGTTCATCCCAGGCTGTAGATGTGATTTGTAAACTTTAATTAAATAAGCGTCTTAGAACCCCTTGCTGGAAATGTTAGGGTACTTCTGAGAACTTGAATTAACTCAGAAGTTGAATAAAGGTTCATGTGGGATAAGCTCTCCATTCTTGCAGAACAAGATGCAGCTTTAAACGTTGCATCGTTGTAGTTAGTAAAGGAAGCACAGAGAAATAGCTCAAGGTCATTCAACAAGACCATGGAAGAGCTGGGAAGAGAACCTTTGGAAGCTGACTGCATACAACAAGGGGTGCTTGAGTTGCTTCCCGCTCTTCTGCTTTTTGTTGACTTATTTTAGAAAAGTTAACTTTAGAATATTTTTCCTGAGGAAGGTCTATGTGAGTATTTGGGGGGTAAACTTGAGGGCGTGTGTATGTATTTTACAGCTATCTCTATAAAAGAAATTTGCTTTGAAGTATTTGGGTTCTGTTTCTAAGTCATCGGGTAGTAATACGCTGTGATATTTGTTTATGTCTCAGAGCGTGAGCTTATCCTTAGACTGTCAGCTCTTTGGGAAGACTCTTTCTTTTCTGAATGTCCGGAAAGGAGTCCTTCCCGGGGACTGAAGCTGCAATGTCTCTCTGTGAGCAGCACTCCCTGCAAGAGGATGCAGTGTGGATTAACAAGGAGGCGCTGGTCAAATGGTTGCAGGCCGAGGGCCCAGTGCAGTGGTCTTTAAATGGGAGAAATACGTTTCCCTACCCTTGGAAGTCTTGTCCTGGCTAGGCCTCTGCTTGTCCAGAGGCAACTACTGTCATTGGGACAGGTGCAGATTTACTCTAAAAGGAGGATGTGGCTAATGGTTGCATCCCTCTCTTTCCCATTAACAGCTTTATGTTATGCTCTGTGTGCTGTAGGTCACATCTTTTAGCAGACATGGAGCAGTGGGGCATGCGTGCCGTGGCTTTGTCTGGTTCTGGGTAGATGCTATGATTCCTTGGGAGTTTTCACATGTCCAGGAGGGTGCCGTAGGGTGCAGATAACCACGTTTCAGACAATCCGTCCATATCTTATATGCCTGTCCTGAAATCTGGTCCTGGTTATCTGGGATGCTGCTGATCCTGTGAGGCAAAGTGATCAAAACTGACTTTAATGCCTGCTTGGCGTTGTAAAAGGACATAAAGTAGAGGCGATGAAGGTTGCAGAAGCTGCACTCTGGGTGGTTGATGCTGTTGTTATGGATGCTGATTTTAGCATTTGTTCTTTTTGGTCTAGGTCTGAAGACGACTCCACTTCCTTCAAAAGTAAAGTGTCCACGGTCTTCCTGGCCAATGATTCTTCTACAGCAAGCAGGACTTCTTCCTCACCCTGAGAAGCCTTCATCTCTTCCTATGTCAGTGGCTACCAGGCCACGAGCCAACTCGCCGCTGTCCCCACCAAAATCTGTCGGACTGGGGCCTTCCTTTCATCACGCACAAGAGGAAGAGCTTGCAAAGGTGGTGGAGCAGGACCCTATGCTGGAGGAACTATGTAAGCCTCTGTGCTGTAAGCTTTGCAATGTCACTCTGAATTCAGCACAACAAGCTCAGGCTCATTACCAGGTAAGGACAGCAGCAGGCACAATCAGAGCTGCTCCTGTAGTCATGTCTTCACCCCACTTGAATTTTCTGGTTGTCCAGACATGCTGCAAGTGCTTTAATTTAAGATGCAATCACTGGAGCATGTTGCAAAAACTTTGTCTGCAGGGGCAGAGTAGTAGTATCAAGATAGAACTGCTGAAAAGGAAAACACTGAGACTTTTCCATAGTTTGACATGGCCTGTTCTCCACCTGTGCTGTCTTGCAATAAAAATGGACTTCTGGATCCACAGATGAGACTTTGTAAGGCTTGGATAGATGCTTTCTGCTGGACCCACCTGTGCCATTGGGAAAGCAGACTGCTGCCATGTGTTCATCGTAACCTTCTACCAGAGGTTATCAATACCACAGATCTGCTGGTGGGGCTGTTTTTGCACACTCTAATCTGCTTTGGACAGCCGCACTTGGGCCAGCTCCAACCAGCAATTAAATTTGTACAAGCTGGTCTGGTTGGCTAATCTGAAATAGGTTAGGGGAAACTTGCATGTGCTTCTTTGCTGACAGGTTGAGTATGTCGCATTCCTCTGTTACCCCATTTTACCAGTACCCTCTCTGCCATACTGCTGTTTTTGCATGAGTTGTGGAGACAGTAACTTTCTTCACCAGCACATCCAGGAGGATGGCTGACCATATCTTCAGGACACTTGAGCTCACACGCGGCCCAATTGTGCCAGACGCTAAGCAAGTTGGAGAAAAGGGAGGATGCCAGCATCTCTCGAGATGAGAGTTGCTGTTTTCTGAGTGACACCTCCTTTATCTAAGGTGTCACCTTCATGACCACTTTTTCATTTCAGTCTTTGGGGTCCTTTTGCTCTTCAGTGTAAGAAAGATACTATTACTAGGACAGTAATTAATTTAGGTTCTCTTTTTCAGGGTAAAAACCACAGTAAGAAACTCCGAAACTACTATGCTGCCAATAGTTGTCCAGCACCTGCCAGAATGAGTAGTGTGGTTGAGCCTGCCCCACCTCAGGTCGTCTCTCTTCCAGCTCAGGTAAGGTGTGGGAAGGTGATTGGGATCATGCTGCTTATATGTGACCTAACCCCCAATAAGAATAACTAGATCTCATGCTTTGCGGATTACTACAGAGGAGTTTGGAAAAAATTTCCCTTGTGATAGCACAGGGTAGTAGAAGTGGCCTTTTATGAGCTGTTGACTTTCCTTCGGAGAAACAGATATCGATCTGCCCTCACAGCAGAATGTTGGACTTGAAACGTTCTGTTTCTACATAGGAATCAAAGTATTTCCCATGCAAGTCTGACATGCTGCTGATTATGTTTGTTCAAGGGCTGGCATAAAACAGTATTGTTAGAGCTGGATTTGGACGTGAGGGTGTGGCATCCTCCCTGCAGAGTCATCCCTCGGTTGTGTGAGTGAAGCTTAAGTGGAGAAAGTGTTGCCCAGGACTATTACCTAATTCTTCCTTTGTAGCTCCTTTGCAAAGGTTGTTCCTGTGCATAGGGTGAATAGATGGCTCCCTCCGTGATTCAGATTATCTGTCTTAGAGGTGAAAGAGAGTACTTTTACTTTCTTCCTATGGAGTTCATGGCTCCTAATTGTCATGGGACTTCACACCCAACAGCCAGGTTAGGCGTTAATGTGCAGGGAACCACAATGAAGCAGCAGGGATCAAAGCTGTGGCTGTTGCCTCAAAAACACAAGCCTCTGTTGTCTATACAAAAGCCAAAAAGTACTTCCTAAAAGCGGCAGCTTGTTATGTGTGTGCGAGAGCCGCCAGAGGGAGACTTAGTCCCACATAAAAGGACTTTGTGCCTTGCAGAACTGAATTGGAGTCCTGAGAAGGCATCAGGTCCTGCCCTAGGTGGTGGGACATGGGTGCTGCACTAGCTGGAGTACCGGGTGCTCCTCTTTGTGGGGGAAGTGGTCCATGGCAATAAGGAGACTGCACTGGGGCCACGTGAGGATTGATGTTGTAATGAACGTGTGTCTATAAGGTTGTATAGCATCAAAGGAGACATGGAAAAAATGGACTTGGCAAGTGCGGCACTGACACGGCTGTATGAATCACTGCTGCTGCATTGTTTACAAAGCACTTTTCTCTGGGTGATACACAAACACTGAGGAGAAGTGGTTGCTGCTCCATTTGACGTGTGGCCTGACTAGACAGGCAAGGTCTCATTTATGTGGCAGGAGTTATTCATGTGAGGCTGGGTCCTTCCTCTGAAGTCTTGATCCAGATCTCCTCGTGCCTGAAGGGTAAGGGTCAGAGATTTGGCAGCTCTTCAGTTGCTTTCATCTCTTAGTGTGGTCAGGGAACGATGGAGAGAGAGGGAGCTGTGAAGAGACTGCATATAATGGATACATGAGAGAGGTGCACCTTAACGTTTCAGTGGGTCTTCTGCAGTGTGAAAGTCACTGTTCATCAGCTCCCAGGAATCAAGAGTAGAGGAGTTAATTCATTGCTGAGAAGGTCACAAGCTTGTGTGGCTTTTGCAGAGGTACAGAGTATTTAGTCAGATTGCTTTTGTCTCCATCTGAAGCCAAGGATTTACATAGACCTTGTGGAATTTGCAGAGTCTCTGGGAGGCTGAGGCAAGGAAAGCTGAATTCGCCTCTGAGGAGTAGTTTGGGGAGGGCTGGGCAAAGTGTCCTGATCATTGTGCTCTAATTACAGCTGTGTCGTTGCCCGACAAAGACGATATTGGCCTCAAGCTTTGATATTCGAATATTACAGTGTGTTAACCTTCCTGTGTTTCACACGCTGTCTCTCCCTTTGCTGCTAGATGGGAACCAGTAAACCAGGTGGCCGAGTGATCTTGGCCACAGAGAATGATTACTGCAAGCTTTGTGATGCCTCGTTTAGTTCTCCAGCTGTGGCACAGGCTCACTACCAAGGGAAAAATCATGCCAAGCGGCTGCGTCTTGCAGAAGCACAGAATAACTCATTCTCGTAGGTATTGTTCAACTTGATGCTCAGGCTGATCTCTTGTCAAGCTTTTTTTCAGAAAAATCTGAATTGCAGCTGTTCATGTTTGTTGAATCTTCAGGGAAGCCTCAGAACTAGGCAAACGGAGGACAAGGAAAGAAGGTAATGAATATAAGATGATGCAGAACAGAAGAAATATGTATACAGTTCAAAACAACACAGGTAACTGAGAGCTTTCATTTATTGCATTCTGTAGTTGGAATAGTACTGAATACTAAATATATATTCAGTGGTTTTCTCTGAGCTCTGTTTTAGCGGAGAGGGAGCATGAAAGGAGCTGGTCCTAGCTCTGTTGACCCTTCTTGTCTGTATGTTTATATTTTCTCAGCTGCTAAAGTTACTTTGACAGCCTGCTTGTTAGTTCAGTTTCTCAGTTAGTAACTTAATTGACCATCTGCCTGTCTCTAAGGCTGCTCTAAGTGGTGATGATTTTCCTGCTTTATTTTCTTGGCCAGCAGCCAGGTGCTTTGACTCCTACTGTAGCACATCAACCTGTACTTACACTCCCATGTCCAGGATGAGAGAGCATGTTAGCCTCCCTCTAAGACCATCTGTTCCTGGAATCCTTCCTCACATCTTAGATACCAACTCTGCCTCTTTTCCATGATATAAAGTGTATTCTATATTGTCCAGACTAGCATCTGTTTCTAAGTTGTGTTACAAGCGTGTATTAGCTGAAATCGTGCTTCCTGATTGAAGCTTGGTTTAATAGTATCATACTAAGCACCGTCACTTGGAAAAGAGAAATCTTTTAAAATTCTATTAAATATTGTCTTGTGATGATTTTAAACTGAGATAGGCTTATTCCATTTCAAAAGCTCTAATTCTGGAATTAGAGGGTTTAAAAAAGAATTGACTCATCACTTAAATGATTAGACTGCTAACTTTCAAAGGCAGTATTTACTCTTAATAAGACTCTAAGCCCGCTCTAGTGTTTTAGAAAATATCAGCAAGTGTCATTCCCATATGTGCTGCCCCCTTTTAAATCTGATCCTCAGTGGAGAAGTCATGTGGGAAAATAAGAATCAGACTCTCATCAGTTGAAAAAGCTAACCTTTGCCTGCTTTGTAAGCATTTGTCAGCCTTAGAAGTTGTCACTGAGCTATCTCAAGCTTCCCTGTCTGACAGGTAAACAGGCTTTTCTGTTGTCTCCACAGGTCCCTACTTCAATCCCCGCTCACGCCAGAGGATTCCTCGGGATCTGGCTATGTGCGTCACCCCCAGCGGCCAGTTTTACTGCTCTATGTGCAATGCTGGGGCCAGTGAGGAGATGGAGTTCAGACAGCACTTAGAAAGCAAACAGCATAAGAGCAAGGTGTCCGAACAGCGGTATAGGAATGAGATGGAGAACCTAGGCTATGTACAATGACACGCCACCCTTGGCAGTAGTTTGCAAATAGAGCAGCTTGTCTCTCGCCTGCTGTTTGCCACATGCCCTGCTTTGTGCTCCATTTGATAGGAGTATGCTCTCGAGCTATACATGTAACACCTGCAAACTTAATGGTATGGTTAGTTTTTTTTCTATCATAGTTGGCAGGATGATGCTGTGCAGGACATGAAGTGTTTTGATGTTTGTTCGCTAGTTATCTAAGGCTCTTCGTTGTATCGAGTTGGGGGGACTCTCTTCTCCTCAGCCTTCTGCATGAATATGCAAAGCTCAAGAAGTGCTGGCAACTTCTGTGATTCTGCCACACAGGTGGACCTTGTGCAAAGCCCACTCCTCCCTTGGCACACTAGAGAGCAGCGCTCCTGAATGTCTCAATAGAGCAACGTGAATCTCTGGGCAGCTTGGAAGAGAAGGACAGGAATGGGGCCTGTGAATGTGTGTTTAGATGATTTACTTGTCCGCAAATTGCTGCTGTGGCCCCTATTAGAGCCCACAGGAAGTTCTTTCCACATCCCTGTAGATAGACTATGCACACCTCTCGTCCTTATCTCCTTCTCCTTCCTCTGTGATGAAGATCTCATTCTAAGATCTGACATTAGTTATTAGCTGGTTAGCCGCATCCAGAAATATTCTGTTCTACCAAACGGCTAACAAAGAGGAAAGATTTTTCAGTACTGTAATTGGCCTGGACACCTTAATACACCATGGGTGTAGTTCACCTCCCTCAGGAGAGCCTGTGTGGGTCACAGTGGTCTAATGAAGTGAATCGGAAAGCAAACCTACTCAGAGTGGGTGTGCGCTGCTCTGATTCCGTGTTAGACTGTATAGGATGTAGGATGGGTTGGGAGGAGCTGTCAGCTGTAGTTTCTTTGCATACTGATGTAGAAGAGGTCAGGTGTTGGTCTGTGGCCTGTAACTCGATTGCTACAGAAGAGCAGGGCTGCCTGGGCCTTGGGGAGCAGATATCAGCTGTGTCCTGCTCCCATGCCGTTCCCTGCAACTAAGCCCAATGGGTGTTACATAGGTGAGGTGAAATATTCCCTTGAACCTGAGCTACCAATAGTGGATGAATTCTTTTTTTTTCTCCCCATCTCAGACTGGGTTTTAATTCTGTTCCTTGATGTGAACCTCACTGTTTGAGGGACCACCTAAACTCCAAAGCTAGGCAGGATGTAGGTTTCAGGTGTGGCAGTTGTTTGAGTAACAATTTCTTGGCCAAGCGGAAGTACTCATGAGACTTGTTAAGCAAAGCAAATCTTTAAGTGTAGAGAAACCCTAAGGGTGTGCATCTGTTTTGATTTTCCTTAGAAGTAGTGGAAAGAGGATAAAGAGCAGAAGTAGGGCTGCCATTTATTTTTCTACTCATTTGGGTAGGTGTTAGGAGCTGTGATTGGAATCCAATTCACAATGTTTCTAAAACATTGGCTCCAGCGGCAAGTGCAGCATGTAGCTATCCTCCTTTGGACCTGATTGACCACTGTGCTGCTACAGCTCTACACTGGTATAGCTTCCTTGACTTCAGTGGCAGGTGCAGAGAGGGGGTAAAGGAAGCTTCATGGCTTGTCTCCCACTCCTCTTGAGGCAGTAGGTCGAATTAGATGCAATTCATTGAATTCAATAGCACTTTGCCAGGGGAAAGTTTACCCTAATGTGTGATGCTGAACGTAGCCCTTTTTTTTTTTTTCTTTCTTTTTTTCTCCTTTTTTTTTCTTGCCATTCTGATCCTGCCTCTTGCATTTCAGAAGGCTTTTCTGCTTACATTGAAAACAGAAAAATGAATAAACAAACAACAAAAAGGCTAGTTTTAATTCATATTTCTAGTTCACCTCAGAAAGGCTTGTGACATGCAGCTGCCTAAAACTAAAGGCTGTTCTTCACCAACGGAGTATTGTATCTCTAGCTACCTGAGCATCAGCTGGCCTTGCAGCCTTAACTTGGCCCTCCGAAAGCCAGGGAGCGTGAGCTCTTCCACAGTAGTCAAAAGCAACCTCCTGCATCATTCCGTGCTGATCCCTGCCCTGCAGATACAGGCAGGGCAGCGGGCATCCTCTTCAATGAGATTCCCTCCCCTTCTTTGTGCAAAGCCTGATTCAATAGACTTTGTGCAGTGGACCTCATTTGAGGGTAGGAGAACAGGTGCCCAGGTTGCAGAGCACTAACTGAGCTATTCTGACAGTTATTTCTGCCCCTGGCCCGTTACCCTTAGGCTGCCTAGAAAAAGACTGCCCTTGCAACACCTTGTCAGCCTTTTATTCCCCCCCTTCCCCCCCCCCATCCTTTACAGTCAAAGAAGGGCTGCTTTACTCCTTCTGTTCTGTCTTTTGTAGTTCCTCTGATGTGGCACCACTGTGCAGGGACAGAGGGAGCGGTGTGTTTCACCAGAGCGGTCCCTGCATTGTGGTTAAACATCCCTCTTGCTGTAACTTAAGGCATGGTATTTCCCACAGGCTGCAATTAGTGGCAGAAAACTGGCTCTTTGTGAAGTAAGAGCTTGGGGACCTGTAGGTGCTGGCATTGTCTAGCCTATTGCTTCGATCAGGAAGGCGTTTTTCTCTCCTTTCACATGTCCCAGAATCAGCAGTTAATCCCCTTCCTTCAGTTGCTGCCTCTGCTCCTAGCTCAGCAAGCTGCTCCTGATTTGGCCTTTCCAGTGGCTATGTTCATATCCTCTGAAAGCATGGCTGCTGCCGGTGTCAACTCGGTTTGTTCCGTGTGCCACGGCCTTCTGTCCACGCAGTCACCTGCCAGGGTGCCCCCTCTGCCACCAGCTGGTGCAAGCAGGCCACAGCGTGTTGGTGTGCTAATGTGCTGCGCTTGTGGGCTGCTCTCTTCGTGGGTTTGAGTCAGGTGTCGAGGGATGGCTTGAGCCTGCCCTGGGCAGGGGGGCATCCAGCCAGTTTGTTGCCTTCACAAGAGTACAAGGATTGAATGGCGTCGTCCTGAGATTTTCAGAGTGCTCCCAGGTATAAAGTAGGGAGTGAGACTGAAGCAACAGATTGCTGAAGCAGGAGTAAAGATACTTACAGCTGGGAAAAGCAGCTGAGACCTGCTTTGCCCGAAAACTCTGTTGTAGCCCTTCCCTACGAGTGACCAAAGGTTGCCCCTCCCTCTTCAGTGTCACATAACATGAAGACATGCCACCTCACTGGTATCATTAGGGTTAAGGCCAATCCAAAAACAAACTCTTCAGCAAGAGAAGCAGGGCTAATACTGATTATATATATATATATTTTTTAATGGGAGTCACTGCCTAAATTGGCGTTCAAAATGCATGTTGAAAACGCATCCTGGCATAACCTTACGTGATATAGCTGGACTGGGGAGAAAGCTGTGTAGCTGTAGTACCACTTTACAGACCCAATTAATCTTGCTCTTGAGTAAAATGAAATACTGAACCCGAGAAATAGGACTTTTGTGAAGCTCTCACATTGGCCAGTAGGTTGATGACCTTTGCTGCTAGAAACAAAATATAAATCAGTGTGTTCATATTTATTTTACTGTGCTGACCACTAATTGACTTGTGAATATTTAAGGCATTATTCTATAGGTTGTTTTTGTTTAAATAGAAAACTCTACATGGCACTTTGCTTTTGGATCAAAACAGATATTTATTATGTTTGTGAAAATGTTTCTCTGCCCTATATATGTATTGTTTTTTCTTCCTTGATGAGAAAAAAACCCCCGGCAACCAGTGAATCTTGTTTGTTTGTTTGTTTCCATACTAAACAAAATTGGGATTTCCTTATAGCTCACTCTTAAATGTCCATTTTAACTTTTTTTCTCCAATGATTCCCACGGTAACGTTAAAAATATTGTCCCAAGACCCATGAATTCCATACTTAATTTAAGCATTTATTTGTAGGCAAGGAAGTAAACTGTGTGGAATTCAAGTATTTGTGAGGAGTTTGAGAATGATGATACTATTTTGTTTGTATTAGGCATTAGCTGTTAATTTTGCATTCTGCACTAATGAGTAAATGTGAGATAATCTTGCCTAACATTGGTCTCTCTGACTTTGTGCTTTTTGGTGTACATCAGAAGGAACCCTGAAAACTTCTGTGGAGTTGCTTAGGATGGTCATCAGTGTAACAAAATGCAATTTTTTTTAATCTGTAAAGCTGCTTTTCTTTTTCCTTTTTTATATGCCCATTATCGGGCATTAGAAGGGAAAGCTATTTCTGTAAGCATGGATTCCTGTTTTGGCTTACTAATGCATGAAGTCCTTTTGCAACATTGCTTAGGCAGTACTCTAACTGATCATTGGGAATTTTGCCCAAGCCAGGAGTAAATGAAACAGCCTAGCTAAACACGTTTGTTAGGCCCAGGCAAAGTACACTGCTAAAATCTGTCTCTTACTCCTGTTGCGGTTACAACACTCTTATAGTTTTGCTTTTTGAAGAATGTTTAGCTTGTTCTGTAAGGATTTGGTCCTGCTCCAGCTAAAATAGTTTAAATTTCATCGTCTTTGGTTGACAAGCCTTGAAACCCTTCAGGAATTTCATACTGATATTTTCTCATATATGCTTTTTTTTTTTTTTTTTTGCTTTTTTCTTTATACCACTATGTATACAAGGATGCTCTGGATGAGAAGGATATGTGTTGCCAGTTATGGAAAACCAAATGTCAGGGTTTCCAAAAGGAATGATCTTGCCTGGCAAAGTCCATATATCCCCATGATTAACAGAGACTGGAGAAGTATAGACCTGGTTTCTGTGAAGTTAGTGACTAAGCTCCCATTGTTTTGAGCTGGGCCAGCTTTGCCATCTGCATAACGTTGGAAGTGAATATAAAAATCACTTTCATACAAACATGGTCGAGCAATAGTGTTGGGCATCTCTCCTTTAAAAGATGTGTCACAATTAAAATATGTATCTTTTAAATCTGAAGTATTTGCAGGTAAAGGCAGGAGTGCAGATTTATTAAAAAAAGAGTGAAAAACTTCTATATTCACATACTATTTTAGGTCTGATTTCTTTTTTCTGTGTTCTGTGGGGGGAAAGAAAGGACTCGATTTAGTTTCCTTCTGCATCTGCCCAGCAACATCATTTGTAAGAGCTTTGAATGTATTTCATCTAGAGCCTTCTTGTCAGGTTGGTTTTGTACATTTGTCCTTCTTTTCTTTATGTTGTACTGATCACCCAGGAGAATAGTGGATAGAAATGAATTTTTCTTCAGTATATAATAAATCATCTTGCTTTTACCATTGCATAGTCTTAGTGTTTGGTATTGTACTGCCTGTGAGATGGCTAGACTGTGCATGACTGACATGGTACTCCCACTGTCACCCTCTATGCTATGTTTTAAAACCCGGCTGAGGGGGTCCAGTCCTATGTGCCATTTCTTAGTCTTGAAGGAGGTCAGAGTATTTTCAACTATTACTGAAAAACAGCTGAGCACTTGGGGACTTGGTTCTCCCTCACAGCTGTCTTGGGTTGAGGGGCATTGAGGGTGCTCAGCATCTCACAGGATGGGAGCCAGAAGAGGGGGAAGGGCTCCGTTATCTGCTGAAACTTCCCATAGTGCATGTCACAAACTCAGTAACTTGCACTTGCAGCTCCTTAACTATAAAACAGCGGTGGCAAGCAGAGCCCAAGATATGTATTTGTGCTTCTTTTTGCAAGTGTGCCTGTTGTCCTGTTCCCTCACAGGAGGGCTCCAGAAGATGGTACGTGCACACGCTTATGCACCATAAATGACTTCCTAAACAGAAAGGACATCACGAACTAGAGCCTTGAAGCAGAGGAAGTCAGTTTTTGCTGAGCTGAGCTCAGGAGCAGTAAGAAGGGGGGCCTTCCTCAGCGCTGTGGCCATGCAGTGCAGTGCAGGTCAGGGCAGGGCATGTTGACAGCAAGCTAGGGCCATGGGTGGGCCCTGGGTGGCACAGCTGCAGCACTGCAGGCTGTGTGACACCAGCAGCAGCTGCGGCACAGTCCTGAGTGTGGAGGGAACCTGGTGGCCAGGAGCTATGTCCCTGAACTCCCACATTGCTAGTTTTTCACAGGATTTGGCCTCTGCAAGGAAGAGTGGCACCAGAGGGGGAATCAGCAGGATTTACCATTTTCAGCAGCAGCCCACAACCCCTGCATAATGTGACTCTGCAGGAAAAGGAGCAGCCAGAGGCACAATGCCTTAATTCTTGCTTTCCCCTACCGGAGGGAACCGAGTGAAAGTGACTGCTGACTGCCAAAGCCTGTTTGAGGCAGTCAGTGAATGAAAGGGCAGCCTGGGAGGACTGCTGGGTGGATTTTTTTTTTTTTTTTTTAAATAGGCCATATCCAAAAGATGGATTTGAAGCTACTATAAATCCAAAATATGATCTTATTTTTGTATCACAGTTTAGTCTTTCTAACAGCAACACTGGCTGCCCTAAGGACGGTATAGGTACTCCATTTTGGTGCAAAAATCACATTTAGTGGTTGTTACTATTATCTAAGCATTGCGACTTAGCATGCCCAGAAAAAGAGTCTGAAGTGAATTAATAACATGTATTTTAATTTGCTTTGGTCTCACCATTACTTGAAAGAATGAGGCATAGAAAACCGCTGCAAGTTCATTAACCCTTTCATGTTCTGGCTCGTGGTGGGCTGCTGTGGGCAGTTAAAGTGGGCAAGAGCCACCCCTCAGTGCAGGCGCAGTAGTGACTCCGCAGTCCCACCCCTGCACAGAGGCCATGCCCCCAGACCCCCCCATAACCTCCCCCACAGCTCCCCTGTCCCAGGCCTTACCTGGCCCCAAGTCCATACCACAGCAGTTTCACATAGAAGTAAAAACACAGCTTTTTTTGGTGTCCTGTTTCTGCTAAACTCTACCCAGTCAAACAAAAGAAATGAAATAAAACTGTGATTTTTTTTTTTAAGTACAAAATGGACAGAGATTTCCTGAACTGACAAGCTTCATTATATTCAACTACAAGAGGAGAGCAGAAAGTATTTCAAAGCACTGCAAGGTTTCCACAAGGCAGATGTTACATCATTTTTCAGGCCCAAGCTTACAGATGGTGCACATTTCTTCATGCTCAGTTCAGATCAGCTCCAGCATCATTCTGAACATTAATACTTCCACTCTTACTTCTTAACCTTTTATGTACATATTGTTAGGTTGATTCTCTTCAAAAAGTTAGGCTGATAAATCACAAGACTACCTCTTGACAGGGCCCTTGTGTTGAATTTGTGTGAAAAAAATGCAAAAGGGAACTGCTGCCCCCAGTCAGCTCTACAGACAAGGGAGTTGATTAGCCTTTGAGAAAAACGTGCCAGCTCAATTTTCTGCAACTGTTAACGCTCTCTCTTGAATTCAGTGAGACTGAAGTTTGCAGGGCTCCACTTAAGTGCTGGCACAGCTTCAGTTCACATAGCCGTCCGCAGCTGCGCCAGGCCAGAAGCCAGAGTAGCCAGGGAGGGCTTGGGCCAATGGCCACTTTCAAAACCCAGCTCAAATCAACGCTGCAGACCAAGCCAATTGCACAACACAGGCACCCTCAACTCCAGCCCCTGCCCTGCCCCCAACAAGCAGCTACAGCTCTCCACTTTCCACCCACTCGAGTGAATATCCTATATTCCAGACCAATGGTAAGTCAAAATAAATCACTCCTCCTACAACACCACTTCAGTACCACCACACTCCTACTATAAAACCACCACAACAACCCTGAAGCATCACCAAACTCCAACCTGAAAACCACCAAACAGTTCCTGCAAACCAACTTGGAAGCACCTCAGACAAACACATGCAAGGGTCACAACAACAAAAACTGCAAAAGCTGGTGCAAAGTTGAAAATGCCTGGGCTGGGCAATGTGCCTGGCATGAGTTAAAGCAGAGCTGGGTCTTAAAGGTGTGAAAGTTGTAACATACAGCTTGACAAGGCATTTTATTGTGTAACTGTAACACTGGGTAACTGGGAAAAGGGGAAATGCAGATGCTGTTTCAGGACAAGAGGAAATTGCTCCTCCACCCGCTGAGTTCATATTACTCCCTCCTTTGTGCAGATGCTGAAAAAAAACCCCGGATTTAGAACAAAGCAAATAAACTCAAAATCCCAGCCCTGAGTACTGTTCCCAAGCCTGAAAGCAGCTGTAAAGTCCAGTTAAGACGAATGGAAAACTCTTACTACGCAGGTTGTGAGCGATGAGGTCTCCTAATAGACGGTAAAACAACGGTACAAGAACTATATTTCAAAAGGAAATTCAGAAGGGGTACCTCCTTAGCTAAAAATGTGAATGATTTACAAAAACCTAACAAATAGTATTACAGAAATATTTTTTCTTTTACTTTAGAGGACGTATTCTGACACTGCCAGAACATCTCATGGACCGCAGCCTGGCCACCGGGGGAAAAGGGCCCTGCCCTGCTTACAGGGTGGGCCTGGGGTCCAGTGAGCTCCGTGGCCCCCTCAGGTGCGGAGACAGCGACTCGCACCCTCCTTACAGGGTCGCCGCTCTCTCCGGGCAGCCAAAGGAGCACCGTGGCAAAAGGCCAACAAAGCAAAGACCCGAGCCCTGCTTACAGGGAGGTCGCCCAGCGCCAAGCGAGCGAGGCCACCAAAGGGGCCACGCCTGCTCTTCTCCTGGACCGCAGCCCTGCTTACAGGGGCGTCCCTTTGCCCAGAGTGCCCTTCTCTTTCCTCCTCTTCAGGCTTCCCGCCCTCCTCCGTTGCTCTTCCGGCTCACTCTTGACTCGCAGTTCCGCACCGCTCCTCTTCTTCCTTCTCCACCAGCTGCCGCAAAGGAAACCAGACACAGGTAACACTGTGCCGACAAGTGCCAACTCCTCCGCCTGAAGGACAGAGGGCCAGCAGCAGCTCTGCCCAGCTCCACCAAGCCGCCCCTCCCCTACCTCCGACGCCCCTTCACCCTGCTACAACCCGCCC